TCCTCTCTCCCCCTCTCTCCCTCCCTCTCTCTCCCTCTCTCTCTCCCTCTCTCCCTCCCTCTCTCTCCCTCCAACAAACTAATCCCTCCCTTCTCTCCCTCCCCCAGGGTAAACTGGGCGAGTTGCTCCTGTCCCTGTGCTATCAGCCCAACATAGGCCGGCTCACGGTGACCGTGATGAAAGCCAAGGACCTCAAAGCCAAGGACATCACGGGCTCGTCAGGTGAGATCTGTTCGTGTGTCGTCATGTGTCTGTCTTCTTACAGTGGGTGGTTGGCGGGGAAGGGATCTGGAAGGGTTTGCTTTTTCTTTCCTTCCAAGCATCTATCGTCCTTCTATCTCCTCCTTCTTTTCTGTGTTTGTTACTCTCTTGTAACACCTCTAATCTTCGGCACTTAAAAGATGACCATATTGTGTTGCAAGTGCCGTAGAACTCTTACTATAACTAAAACTTTCTTATAAGAATGATGACTGCTTTTGAAATGAAATAAAATAAATGCCATAGAGGAACCTCTATCACGGAAAGGAGAAATGGAAGTGAACCTTACCTTAAGGAAACTGTTACAACCCCAGATTGTGCACACCCTCGCAGTAACACCTCCAGTGTTCAACAGGTTAGAAAACATCGTAGCACCAAAGTAAGCCTAGCGGCCCATAGACGTCCTTGTCTGGCTCAGATTCCTGGCATGGTCATCAGGGATATTGGTGGGCAGCCCAAGATCAGAAAAGAAGATCGCGGAGACAAAAAAATTAAGGGAAAAAAGGCGTTCTAACTTAGAATCTAAGAAGGATGTGCAGAGAAGCGCCAATACTCCCTCAAAACATAACGAAACTGACTGGAACTGAACTACTTTGGGAATATCAAACATCACGATTCTCTCGAGAAACAAATTCTGGTAGAAGGCGAGAGAAGAAGAGGGAGACCAAAGAGACGATGTAAACAAGACATCAAAACCTGGCTTGGAACCCAAACAAGCAAAGCAGGCAGAATGAGAATGACAACATTGGGCTCGGTCGAGTCCTCCCTACAGTGTAAAACCTGTTCACAATGATATTGAATGTTGAATTAGTGTGTCCACTCCGAAATGATAGAATAATGAAAGTCGTTTTTCTGTGGATTCCATGCACATATTTCTGCTCTTTGGAAAGTAAAAAATTAGACAAAAGCTGTTGGGATAAGAACTTGATTGTCTCTCTAAGAACATTCACAATGAAGAAAGGAAATTTCATCATTACACTGGACGATCCCTTGTCCCGTTTTCTATGTGGGTCCAACATAAGACCGTGATGTTGGCGTTTATTTTCTATTCATAATCTTCTCTCTGTGGTGTTCTTTTGCTTCGGTTTGGTGGAAATGTATGGATAATCCAATAGATTTAGCAATATGTGTATTATAATATTTTGCTTTACCACCTTATCATGGTTTATATCTAGCGTTTCTTTAACCATCTATCAATTTGTCCCTTTTATTCTTCAAGGCTACTTCAGATAATGAAAGACCAACCATTTTTCCACATTTTTCGCTTAGGTTTTTAATATAACTTCTGTTGTAGTGTTCCAGCTTCTTGATTAACGTTACACTGTTGCAAGGGGTGCTGAACTTTGGCCACGTAGCAGTTTGTTAATGTTCATGCCCACCCTGTTTTGAAAGTAAAGACATTTTCTCTTATCAGTTATTTTGTTATTAAAGTACAATAGGATCTCCCGGTCAGATTACTAAATAGCCGCAGCAGCAGCAGAAAACTACAACAATAATAACATCAACAAAACAACAACAACAACAACAAAACAACAACAGCAGCAGCATCGAGCAGTAGCGTAAAATTGGAGATTTTCAGCATTTTATACAATTTAATGTAAATGCACAAGGCATAGAAATTCAGTACATCAATCTCAAATGTCCAGACCATTCATAGGAACGTAATATGTCGGTCCCTCAGAGAAGCGCTGTTTCTCCATAGAACATACACCAGTGTGGAGTTAAAGACGTCTCGACTGCAGTCATTTCATTTTCATTTGGCTAAAAACAAGACACGTCGAAGGGTATAACAACAGGATACGCTGTGTTCTTGCAAGCATCAGATGGAGGGAATAACATAATCCCCCCCCCCTCGCCCCATAAACTAGGGTGGATTTTTTTTTTTCCTGGGGGGTAGGAGTTGTTGCGTTGTTTGTTGTTTTGTTTAGGGGTTTTTTAATTATTATTTTGGGAGGGGGTGGCAAAATACAGATAGCCCAAAAAGGAAATGACCTGGAGAAGAATGAACCATTGTGTACAATAAAACTCTCAGTGTTGTAGTTGATTTGTTATTTGGCCTGCTGGTAGCTGAAGCGACTGCCAGTGACGTTTTCTGAACTTTGGATCACATCCACTGAAATTTGTGTCTGAGAAATGTTTGTCTTTTCCAGGACGGTTTAGACTTGATTCGTGTGGTAGGTTTCGCTGCTACAACTTTCCTTTTTTCTTTCTTTTTTTTTTTCCTTTTTAAAAAAAAAATTGTTTTGTTTATAGTTACTGAAGAAAGTGATGGCTCGTGTATCAAGATGAGTTTGGAAATGTAGCCAGGGTAGGGTTAGACATTCGGATAAGGACACTTTCCCCCTCATTGTTTATCTTATTGCGTTTTGTTCAACCATTTCTGGTCTTGGTTTTTTTTTACCTTTTTGTTCGTTGAAGGGGTTAAAGGTCATAGCCTACTTTTTTAAATCTCTCTTTTGTTTTTGTTTACGGGAAGAACAATATCCATTTTTGCTTGCTTTCAACTCGCAGCGTGAAATGTCCATTGTTTCATTGTAATAGTATCGGGCTCAGGTATTTCATTCACTTTCCCAACCTCCCTGGTATTGTGTTATTCCTTGTTATACCACGGTTCACAAACCCGTCTGTATAGAGATCATGTGTAGAACTTTACAGGTTGTTGTCTATTGTTGCTGCTGCTGTTGTTGTTCTTTTTGTTGTTATTGTTGCCGCTGTTGATTTTGCTTTGTTCTTGTTGGGATTTTTTTTGGTCTTTTGTTGTTGTTGTTGTTGTTGTTGTTGTTAAAATCCAGGGTCATAGAATGGGAAAAAAGTAGGTAATGTACGGATGAGATGAACTTGATCCAGAGTTCGAGCACTGGGCTGAGGAGACGCAGTAACAGAAAGACAAAAAATAGATTAACCTCAAGCTGAATTAGAACCTTGGACTTCTGCGAGCAAGATCAATTCTGTAGCCCACTGCGTCACTAAATCCATCTGAAACAGCTGTAAAAACCTGGACTGTCCACATTGATCGGACCTATCAGAGAAGGGCGTAAGTCAAGGTTGTACATCTTCATCAGTCGACATTGGTTCTGACAGGTTGGGTCGAAGCTGTCCTCGTAAATTATCGCAAAACACGTACACACGTAGATCTACACACGTACACGTACACACACACACACACACACACACACACACACACACACACAC